ATAAAGTGGAAGACTGCAATTTAATTTCTACAGACCACCATACAGTTTCAATCAAACTAAACTATTTCGAGTTCAGAAAAACCAAATCCACTTTTAAATTCAACATCAAAAGAACCTTCAAAGAAAACTTAACAGAATTTATAAATAAATTAGACTCGTGAATTGGTTTTTTTTTATTAACAAACTGGGAAGACTTCAACAACATTTGCAAAAATGTCTTAAATAAGTTAATCAAAAAAGTTTAAACAAGTCTAATACAAAATGACCACTGTACCAATGCAAAAAAAAAACTCAAAAAACAAACTAGAAAAATTAACAGAACTATAATATATCTCAAAAACTATCAAATACCTCTTCCTCTTACTCAAGAATTGAACACTTTATATGAAGCATCCAATGGCCACAGTAATTTATCACTAAAAGGCCTTCAAAAACTCAAAAAACTTCTAATCAAGAAAGCTTTCATACAATTTCAACAAAAACTATTGATTGAATACCAGACAAACTTTGAGAACATGGTTGAAAACTTCTATAGTAAACCCAAAAACTATATCAAAAAGGCACTTGGCTCAATAAAGTCAAAACTAGATCTTCACAAATTTACAACAATAAAGGTCAAATAGAAAATGATCCATATCTTATACAAGAAATCATCAATAAATATTTCCAAAACATCTTCTGAAGCAGAAACTTTGACTTAGACCAATTTCCAGATGGGCATAAAGATTACTCAAACAATAATCCAAGATGTAATCAACAAACTACCCAAGAACAAAGCTCCAGGAAAATTAGAAGTTAGTTATGACATTATTAAACTAATGAGCAAAAAAACAGTTTAATATATATCTCTTATATTCAATCAGATTCTATTATCTGCATCTATTTCCAAATCTTAGAAACAAACAATTATTACTCTCATTTCAAAAAAGCTTCTCTGGAGTCACAAACTCAATGATACAAGATCCATATCTCTTATTGACTTAATTAGAAAAGTTTTCACTAGTATAATTAATAAGAGACTAACCAAAACCCTTAAATCAAATAATATCTTATTAGAACTCAACTTTGCTGGCCTTCCAAACAAAAGCATGATGAAATCACTAACAATAGTATTTATTGTATGCCAAATGATTGATAAGTGACATACTGCCAAATAATCAGATTTTAATTAGTGTTAGTAAAGAAAAAAGATTATACTTGTCTTTTTATATTAGTAGATTGTTTGCAAGAATAAAATGTTATATGATTTTTATTTGTAATATTAAATTATATTTATAGACATGTTCACTTTAAAGATTTTGCCTAGTAACTTTTCTTTATCTGTTTGGGAGATAGTTGAGTTGATCTACTATAAATATAGAGCCAGATTGAATTAAAATCTTTTTGAAAATATTTTATAAAACAGTCAGTTTCTTCTTTGATTTGTATAGGAATACTTATATTTAAGTCATTTAGCTATGAATTGAAAAAGTAGAGTAATAGTCTTTTGAATTTGTAGAAGTTCAAAACAAAGTTTTAAGATTATATTCTTTTCAAAAAATACTAATAAGTTTTCTTATATTTATTGTCATTGAATTGTAAAGAAAGTAGCATGCTAGGTGCTTCAGAAGTAATTTGTATAAGGCTGGAAGTAGATTAGATAATGTTAAATTGAGAAATATTTTGGACAATTTTGCAGAGATTTTATAGAATTTGGCAAGTTTCTTGATTTTTATTGAAAGTTTTTTGAGGTTTTTTCTTTCAGTAATAAGAAAAAGGTGTTTGGTTTCTTTATTGAAGTCTTCAGGATTTTCTGACAAGGAATTAAACTTGAAAAAGTATAAGTTAGACAATTAAAAGAACTTGTAATATATTCTTAAGACAGATATAATAAATATAAGCAATAATCTTTTTTTGATTGGAAGTGAACTTAGAAGTTTAATAACTATACTAGAAAGGATAAATTCTGGATTATTTAGAAGGACTAGTAATAATTTATATTATATTTCTTTGATTATATTTAACAGCTTAATATAATTAACAATATTGTTATTATCTTTTATAAAATAATTGTATTCAAATTCAAGAATTTGTACAATTTCAAAGAACTTGAATTTATTTAGATATGTAAATCTAAAACAAGTTATAAATAATGATAAATTAAGAATTTCTCTAATTTTTATTTAGATTCATCTACTAATATAACTGATATTATTGATTTTTTATAGTTTTTTATATACTTTTATTTCTAATTTCTCATACTTTTTTTGATGTTTTTTTTTAGAGTTATTTTTAATAAATAATTTGAAGAAAGTTGTCTTTTAAAAGAATTTTGATAAAGATTGCAAAGTAAATTCTTATAAAACTGATCCTTTAGAAGTGATTTGAATTTTTATGAAAAGCTTTGCTATTGTTTTGACTTTACTATAGCAGATTAATAATTGTGATGCTAAGTCAATAATTGTGTCATGCTCACTAATAAAAAATTCATTATTTCTTGCTATTTGTGTAACAGTAGACCATTTATTGATTGATTGCTTTTCAAAAGAATTTTTGCAATTCTATTTTCTTTATTGTTTGAAGATAGTATTGATTATAAATTTTCTGATAAGTTCTTTATAGGTAAAAAGTTATATAAGTTATTAAAATTTCATTTCAACTTGAATTATCTGTTGGCTAACTAATTTCTGCTTCATTTAATATTTTGCTTATTCTGATTTGTTCTGATATGAGATCTTACTTATATATGAACAGAGATATACTTGATAATCAAATTTTATAAAAGAGCTAGTACTACTAATAAGATTTGTATAATTTAGAAATTCCATTAATATATCTTTGTTGTAATAGGAACTGGTAGGTTTCATTGTACTTTTAGATTTATTATGTTAATTGTCTATAGTAATCACATAGTAGTGATTATCTATTTGCATTATATTATCTTAATTATGTGAGTTATTAATATTTAATATTGTATGGCTTATTGTATTAATTACACTTGTATATTTTTGAACTGTTGAGAATATATATACATGTATATTATTATTAATTTTTGCTATTTTAGAGTTGCTTATATTCTATAAATCAAAGAAAGTGAATAAGCTGCTTGGGTTTTTTTTGAAATTTGAGATATTGATTTTTTTCTTTTAGGATTTTTAGTAAAATTGGTTCTATGATTAATAGTTCTTTATTTTGAACTGGTATATTGGATAGTAAATAAGTTGATATATCTTGTACTTTTTTTATGTTAAATTTTTTATCACTTTAAATAATGTTAAATTGGTTTCAAGAAAGATAAAGAGAATAATTAAGATTGTTATCTAGAACTTTTTTTGCAATAATCTTCTTATACTTAAAACAAGGTTATTCTTCTTTAATATTAAAAAAAGTTGCTGGGATAGTCTTGAATATTACTTTTGTGATTATTAATAGTTATTGAAATTATTGTACATATAATATTTAATGTTATAGAAGTCATAAACAAGATATTTTTTTATGATTAATAAAGAAAAACTTTATTAAATATAAAAGAAACCAGACAACTCTATTATTTCCTCCCAAAAATTTATTTTCTTGTATATATGTTTTTCCAATATAAATAAATAAAATAGAAATACAAACTAAAAATAGTATATATAATCTTATTGGTTCTCTAAAGATTATATATATGTAATATAAAGTGAAACAATGAAATATAAATTAGTATTTTATTCTAATTATCCTAATATCTTTAAAATCTTTTACTAATGTAACAGTGTAATAGCAAGTCAATTATTAACTCTAATAGTGATTTGTGTAACCGTTACTGGAATAATAAATGAATGGGTGATTTTAGGTATGTTTGTATTTGATCGAGTCTTTATTAATTTTCTCACTTCTTTACTTTTTCACTATTTTTCATCTCTTTACAATTACATTCTTTTTATACACTCTTTCTTTACAATTGGCTATGGCAGCTTGGGTACAGAATAATAAGTTATAGTATAATAACAGGGCTTAGGCAATCTTATATAATTTCTCTCATCAATTTCTTTCATCACTCGTTATTACCTAATTATTATAGCTGACTTATCATTGTCATGACTATTGATCATGTGACTACAGTCGCATTCCATTTTTCCCTATTACACTAATAATTAGAGAAATTAAAAATAAAACAAAATAGAACTATCGATATTTGTAAACTTATACTATTATAATATCAAATACCTTTTTGAATTGGATATCACATGTCATATGTCATGTACTAAATATTATCTATATATACATGTATATCATATATTCTAAATATAATAGAAAATTATTAATCTAAGATATTTCAAGTTTCAGATGTCCCAGAGAGATATAGTAAAAACCATTGTATTTTTAAAATATTGCTCTTTTTAATAGCTTGTTCATGTCACTTGTGTAACATACTTTGTGCTACTTACTTCAACAATAGTATTGTTATAGTATATGATTAAAAAAAATAATGTTATTTGTTATTTGCTTAAAATTAAAAATAATGATATTTATTTATAAAAAATTATTATTATTTGAGATTTGTGAAAGGACAATTCAGAATTTAAGCAAGTTAGCTAAAGACGGAATAGACACATTTCTTACTGGTTCAGTAATTTAAATAATATTTGAGTTGCTTTCTTTATATACTATAGAAAAAAAATAACTTTCAAGATTTATTATTACGATGTCCAAAAGAATATAGAATAAATTTGATGATTTGTTTTTGGGAAAGGAGCTTCCAAGAGTGCTTATTATTTTTTTTTCTTAATAATTTTATCAGTTATTAAAAAAATTTTTAAGCAATACAAAATTTTTAGAAAAGAATTATTTTAGTTTTAAATAATAGTTTTAATTACTTGAGTATTGTATTTTTTATTAAAGTATTTTTTACAGTTAATAATTTGAAAATCTTTATTAATATTAATAAAATATTTTTTTAATATATTTTTTTTAATCATAAGAAATTGTTTTAAAAATTACTAAATTGAAAATAAAAATTGTTTTAACAAAAATTATTTTTAAATTATTTTTGTTTCTAAATCAAAAAAAAAGATTTTTAGTTTTTAGTTTTAATTTTAATAAATAATAATAAATATAAATTGTTTAAAGCTTATTAAAAAAATAAATGCCTTTATAATTAAAGAATTAATTTGTATATTGTATTTGAAATACTTGTGTAAGTTTTTATTTTTGTAAAAAATTGTTATTATAAAAAATATTTTTGTAAGAAAATTTATTAATAAAAAGTATTAATATCATTAATATTATTAATAAAAACTTTTATAAAATATAATTATATTTATAATTTAATATATTTATACTTTTAGTTTTTAATAATTAATAATATACCAATTATTAATAATTTATATATAACAATATATATATATAATTATATTATAAAAATATATACAGTATATAATAATTTTTAATTTTTTAAATATTTATTTAAATTTAATCAAATATATATTATTTCTAAATTCTATTATAAAAAATTCAATAACAACAACAATACTTAATATAGATATAATTAAATAATTTACTATTATTTGATTTTTGAAAATAAAACTTTTAAATGGTATTTATTTAATTAAATTTAAACAAATATTTAAAATTATTATCAATAACTTATAAATCTATAACATACTAATAATGCTTTATAAATCACCAAAAGAAAATCTAAAGTTTAAACTCTCCTGGTTATAAGAATTTATCATTTTTATGATTAGTTAATTAATTTTCAATTTATATTATACTCAATCAGTTGAATAACAAAAAAAAAGAAATTTCAAATTTAGTTAGATTGCATAAAAATGGGATCTCTAGTTTTCTTAATGATTATAGGCTGAAAACAGATTAAAGCACAGAAAGTTATATAAAAAAAAACCTTTGGTCTAACTTTAAATAATAAGTTTACAAACTCTAATCAAAACCAGTAACAACAGATTCCATTAAACAATCATAAAAAGATTAATTCTAAATTGATTTATTTCAATCTGAAGTTTTGAGATTTATTTCAATCAATAGTATTTTATAGAATTTAAACATATGACTAAAAGGGCAAAGGTATTAATTATAAGTAATAAAAAGTTAGACAAAAATTATTAATGTCAAGTGAGTTTAGTAAGAATCAATACTAAGATTAAATTAGAATTTAAACAAAACCATCAATTCTATAAATGATGAAAATGGTAGTATTACATTATGCTAGTGGTGCATCCCAAGAATCAAATAATAACAATAATTGAAATATTGAATTTAATCTCTATAATATTATTTTATAATATGTTTCACTTACAATAAATATATCAAGACTGGATCTAATAGATTAAGTGGTTTAAAAACTAATAATAGGATTTTTACTCCCTATGTAAATTCCACTTAGTATATGGACCATTTATTCAATAGTTGCATATACTGAGTTTATCAAAATTGTAATATAAAAAAACTGCCAACTAGTAATAGTTGGTTAGATTGGCATTAAGCTACTATTTGGTAATAGATATTTGATATAATAATAATAAACTCCTATTTAATAAAAGTCTTGCATTTAATACATGTTATAACTTATAAAAAAAATTAAAAATATTATTGATATATATATATTTATAATAATTTTATAATAAATCTTTTGTATATATGTTTTATATTAATTATTTATTAAATTATATTTATAAATTTGAATTAAATTTATAAAATTATTATTTTTTAAAAAAAACTTGAAAATAATAATAATAATCAAGTGATTTTTTTTTGTTTTTATTAAAAAAGAAATATATATGAATAATTATTTTCGAAGGTGAACCTGAAATTTTCTGGTGTGATCCTACAATTTATATTATATATGTATTGTTAAAAGTTGGATCAGAAAAAATCATATCTGGTATTTTTGTCACCTTCAAAAATAATTATCCATATATTGTTGTAGTGTGATGTGACAAGTCAGTCACTCTGGTCTGACTTATGCTGTGTAATGATCAATATGTCATCTTGTCAAAATAAGTGTGTATGTATTTGGCAGAGTGTTAATCATTGTAGTTATGTTAGTTACTGGTTATAACCAACCCCTTTATTAATTTCTTCCTTACTACTTTATACTTCTTTGTTATATATCTGATATACTGTACCTGATATATCAAATATACCTGATATACCAAATATACTTGATATACCTAATATCCTTCTTTTATTTCTCTATCTTTTTGTATAACCATTTTTGCCTTTAACAATATATTAAAGAAATTTTTTACTAATAATTTTTTATGATATTAGAAAAACAAACAAACAATATATTATATGTTATAAATATATTTGTTGATTTTTTAAATATTTTAAAACTTATTACTATAAAACATCGCATTATATTATTTACATTATTATATTATTTACGAAATTTGTTTTATGACGACAATCATTGATATACTGCAATGGTATTAATTACCACATGTTCTCGATATGTAATGAAAATCGAATTAGTGAATAATCAAATTAATATAAATAAAAAAACCCTATAGCTTGCATTGTTTATAAAACATAACAAATAAATGGTTTAACCTATAATAGAAGCTTTTAAGCTATTGGAAGTGTCGATCTGGCATTGTGTGAGAACAATAGCATTTATATTGTCATCTGACGATCCCTCAAATTTCACACGGGAATAAAAATAACAGAAATAGCGACTTAACTTACACAATATGAGTGGTGAGGAGAGGAGAGAAATATGCGCTTGCAAAAATTGATCGGGTTAAGATATTAACTCGTCACTTAGCCTGAGACGACACTCGCTGTACAATTATATTCGATGTTTATTAGAAAAGTTGAAACAAGGTCCGTCGAAATCAATAACATGGCGTTATATTATTCATACAATCAATCAGAAAATCAAAAACTATCTCCAGCATGATCTTATTTAACAAAGACCATACAATGAGGAATGCGCATGTCAATCAGGGAGGGTAAACAAAAATGTACAAACTCGTGTTTCTACTAACTTATAAATATATACTGTATTATAAAATGTTCGATATATATTTTAAGTATAATGGGTCAAATTGATTTGTCATCTAAGAAAAGTAGTAGGCTTATATTCTTTGTCCTTGGTTTAAGAATCTAACTGTAATAATCAAATAGAGATGAACATTTTTCTATTCAATACATACCTATTTCTTTTTACGTTAATAATTGTCGTAACAATAAATACATAAAAGTAAATTATCACAATGTCGAATTTGTTTTCGTTCACCACAATGATATTAAATGAATTGATTGAATACGTGGTGACCTCAGACTATAGAATGTCAGCATGCCTATAATTGATCATTGTTCATAAGAATTTGGATGGAAATTTTGACGCAAGATTACTTGATAAATGATGAAACATAACCTCCGTGCACATAAGGTTTTCCCAGCATTATAATACTTCACTATTGAGGTATTTTGTGGATTGCATGAAACAAATTATAACCATGTTGTCAAGATACATCGTGCCCGCCAATAAAGGATTATTTAGTTAGGTAATAATATGTCGCGTGTAACAATAGATATAATCTATGGATCGCGCACTTTGCCTAGAGTAGAGTGTCCAGGTTACGGTGCAGGCCGAATCTGTAAAAAATCGTCTGATTCGATGGGTGATTTGCCGATCCCACCGATTTCATTTATACACGCTATTATTGTATATACCGTATTATGCTAATTGTTATTATACTTAAGTCGTGGTTTTCGCTCAAAACCACGTGATATTTTTAATACTATATGTTAAGCCGATTTCGCATATTTAACGTGACCAAAGCCGAAATTAACGGTACCAAAAAATCCGAAATCTGAACACCCTAGTTAGAGGCATATATATTTACCGTATTATAATAAAGTTTCTTACACTTAAGTAATACATCTTAGTTGAACAAAATTACATTATATCGAAGTCACAGTTTTCCAATTACCATATAATGAATATTTCACGTGACTTTAAGAAAATAAGAAATATTGTGCACGTAACTTTCTTAAAGGGAGAAGAAAAAAACCTATAAATTTGAAATTTGATATATAGAGTCGTAGAAGCCAAGATAACCGATGTATAGCGATCTGCGTTGTCGATAAAATAAATTAATGATTGATAAAACGTCCCACAATAAAATGAATAAAAACAAGTGGTGTTGAAACAAATACACCAAACACCGATGAAGCGTTTCCACAATTAAATTAATTGAAAACGAACGTCGTTGAAATAAGTTCACTAATACTAACAAGCGATATCAGTAAAGAATAAAGCTGTCGAAAAAGTCCGTTGAATAATAATTAATATTCATTCGCCGTTGATCTCTTCATTATCTCCTTTAAATAACATTTCAACAAAGTCCGGTGCACCTGAGGTTCTTACAGTGCCGCTGAATAATGAAGAGTCTCCTTGAATAAAAGTTAATTGGTTTTCTTGGAAAATCAAATGAGCTGATGGTTGCGTTTGTGGTAGAGGAGGAGCAACAAATTGCTGCGGTATTTGACGTCTAATAGATTGAAGACTGCTCATCGTTGAATAGTAAATGAATTTGGTTTAAAATTATTTGTTACTTGGGGGAGATGAGTGTCGTTATATAAAATTTTATATTTTATATGATTGAAAGCTATTGGCGTAGTACGTATAAAAACGCTTCTATATTTAGAAAACAACAAGAACCGCACAGAGATATTATCACATAAGCTACAATGGGAGCCTCAGCCCAATCAAATCTATTGAAATTTCTGCAATTAAACATGAAAGCATGGTCCTAAAAGTCTTTAATGATTTAAGAGCAAAGGAAAAATGAAAGAGGAAAGAGGCAAAATATTTCCCGGACATGTATGATCATATGGCTTGAAACGCGATCTGAATCGTTTCAGTCAGTTCAGCTGATATTTAACCGAATAACATTTCTTTGATAAAATCTATATCTGCTAAGTACCATTTAATCCCCCGTGTCAGTGTATAATTGTGCTCGAGATAAATTTTTAATTTGGTAAAATTATCATCTAAACCAGGTATCTTTAAATCACAAAGAAACTGATGTGACCGATTAAGCCCCATTGAGTAGCACCGATTAAGCTTCTTTATTACTTAATGTCTTATCATTTTATTGTTGGGAGACGTCAATAAAGTAAGATTGTCAATTTATTACATATTATGACGTTAAAAATATAATAAATTTACTTTATTTATTAAAGAATAAAAATGCTAATTTATGAAATCAACTTTTTTTTTTAATCGTTTAAAATGTCTATTTAATCATCTACCTAAATCATAATCATAAGATATGATTATCTATTTTAATATTATTTTACAGATTGCAATAATTTTTAATAATACCTTTTCTAAATGTATACTGCACATGTATATACTTTTACCGAATAAGCGTGACTCACCAATTTGAATTTTTCTTTTTTTTATTTTCAACTAAAAAATTTTTACAATGATTTCTTTTTTTTTATAAACAAATGACTATACAAAAAAATAAAGTATTGCCTTTTTTAAAGTATAGGTTCAAATCTTAATTTACTGTATAATGTTTAAAAGGGAAGATCGACAAAGCACATAATAATCTCTTAACATATTTTTGTACGTATAGGAGGAATCAATCATATATCACAAAAGTGGATGTGGGTAGGCGGACAGGGATTTTTCTGACTTTTTTATTGTACTCCTAGAATTTATATTGTATATGCATTGTTCAAAAAATAGGGATCAAAAAATCGTATATAACATTTTTGTCATTTTCAAAAAGAATCAACCATATACATGTGACTGCTTTGTGCATTTCTATATACAGCAGTACTTCTATGTTAATCGGAATTAAACAACATTATTTTTAAAAGGTTAATCTTTTTTGAAAATAATAACAAACTATATAATCAAAAATTTTCTTTAAAAAATATCCATTTATATAATATGCATTACGGTACATAGGGTTCGTCAAAAAAAGTCCGAACAAATTTTTTATTTGTGTTTTATTTGTAATTTAATTTAATTTTAATTGTATACTATGTTGTCAATGTATAATAAAAAACTTATTTAATAATATTTTTATGATATATTGGTAGATTCAATAAAATCATTTTTGGCGTTAAAAATTATTTTTTAAAATTTTTTTGATATGATCAAAATACAATACAATAAATAATACATATGCAATTTATTTATAATTATTTGATTATTTTATAAAATAAAGATAAAAATGATTAAAAATGATTTTAAAAAATTTTAATAAAAATGTATAGATATTTTAATGAGAAATTCTATAAAATCAATATAAGTAACATTTACAAATTATTTATCAATAATAATATAGTTTGTCAAAAAAATTTTTGGGTCAAATATTTATTTGTTTGATATAAAATTTTAAAAATATATTTTTTAAAAAATAAAAAATAAAATAGTAAAATTTTTAATACTTGTTAATAAATTTATCTCAAAATTTGATTTTTAAAATTGAAAAAAAATTACTTACAGTATTAAAAAAAATTAAATTGATTAATAAAAAAATTACAAATTAATTTTTTATAATGAATAAATTAATTTTATAAAGATTACCTTATTTTATATTTTACAAAAATAATTTCAAAAAATTTTAATTTTTAATTTTAATATAAATTTTAATAAATTTTGTTTTAATATAACAATAAATTTTAATAAATTTTAATAATGTATTAATAAAAGTCTATTAAATAAATTTGTTTTTTTATATTTTTATTAATACATATATGTTTAAATTTTATTTTATTTTATCAATCATTTATTGAACTAATATAAATTAAAAATTTGTTCAAAAACTTTTTAACCAAATTATATACAGTACATATATATATAATTATTAATTAATAAATAATATAAATTTATTAAAAATATACTATATATATTTATTAATATAATAATTTTAATATATTAAATGGAATATACAATATGGTGCAAAAAAAATAACAATTATAAAGTTTATTCTATATAAATAACCATAACTAGCGAAATCTAAAGTCAAGTTGAACTATTAACAATGAAGTTCATCTTCTACCAACTTCAATATTCTATATAAACAATAATAATATTCTTCTTCTAGATATTATTTTCATAGATAAAATTTGTAACTATGTGTCTATAATACATCAAAATAAAAGCAAAGAAATTATTCTTACAGAATTATCTAGAATAACAATAACTTTTTTATTCAATAATTATTCTATCAAGTGGTTCATCCTTATTACAAATCTTTTCAGATCTGATTTTACAAATTTAATTGTGTTTCTAATCAAGTTTGCAATCTTTAAGAACTAAAAGAATTTTTTGACACAAGTTATAGTTTTTACAAAAAAAATCTTTCAACTTTTTAAGAAATTTTTAAACTTTTATAATTTACTCTAGAAAATCTTTACAGTAAAAGTTAACTTAAAAATAAAGTTTTTCAAAAAGTACTAATCAAATGCTAGAATTATTCAAAGCATGTATTCTGAAATATGATTCAAATCAATAGAAATATAAAGAAAAAAGAAAGTTTATTTACTTTTACAATACTATACCAGTTGAAAAAACAAATCAACTATCTTTTTTACAAATTTTTTTATCAACAAAACCATTTCAACAATAGGATTACATAACAAAACTACAAGTCAAACAAATATCAATATATATATAACTATCAATCAAATATTTCTATTAGCTATAATACCCAGCCAATCAGAAACTATATACTATTCAATGAACTATTAATAAAATCTATCAAATCTGTTAACTAATCAGCTACAGCCACCTACTCATAATTCATATAAAGATAATTAATTATTGTTTATTAATTTAGACTTTTCTATTCCAGAAGATATAAACATAAGCAATATTATAAGCACCTATACTTACCAGAAAAAAGAAAGCATTCCTAATATTAATATTAAGGATCCTTATAGTTATCAAAAAAAAAAATATCCTTGACAACTATTTCTTAAACATTTCTATTATTTTATATTCAATCAATATTCTCAATCAATATAATAATTCTATTCTTGCTATATTATATTTCTCTTCATCCATATCTTCCAACTCCAATCTTCAAGACAATAGTGAAAGCCAAAGAACCTATTAAGCAAAAACTTTAACAAGGAAAGGCTTGAAACAACATGTAAGAAACTTTGGTCATGTAAGAAAAATCTAATAATAAAATATTTAGGAATAGAAGATTACAATATATTCATTAATATTAATCTTAAGAAAAACAATTACATATATTTCTGACAAACTTGTTACTAAAAATCATTATATTATCAACTAGGAATTCAAATTTAATATCATCAGAAATAACTCAGCAAAATTAATTAATCTTCTACTAGATATCAATCAACAATCTAAAAATGAAATTAAACAAAAATCTTATTTAACTATCTTTATCAAAATAGAAATAAGAAACAAAGGATTTTTCAATTTTAGCAAATCAATGAACTTAAAAAAAATATAAAAAAGAATATAAAAAGCCGGATGATTAGTTTTAAAAAATCTATAAAGAAAAATATAAAGTTGCTGAACTTAATAAAAAAGTTTGCTCCAAAATCAAGCTTCTACTAAGTGACAGTTTTTTAATTGCATATTTAAGATATATTAATATATTCAATTTCAATTCACATCTCTTGATACAAATTATAAAATATAGCTGCAACCTTTTCTGCCATCTTAAAAAAAGCAACAACCAGACTACTACAATTTATTTTAAAGAAGTAAAAAAATATTTTGAGACAATTTTCTAAACTTCTCCTAACTTAATCTCTGCACAGATAAAAGTTAAATTTTCTTATAGAATTCTTATTCTTGACAAAAGTACTATAGCAAGTGTCACAGGCTTTCTTCACTTTTTCTACAAATTCGATCTTCTGCCAAATACATACTTTATTTCTCTTCTAAATTTTCTTGGTTACCTTCACAACTGTTCCAAAAAAGTTTTATATTTATTTCCAGTCAGAAAAAGGAAAAACTTACAAAACTTGAAAAATATGATTAAAGAATTTAAGAGATTTTTTATTGTTTCTTCTAAAATTCTTTCAACTTATTTTGATCTTCTATTCTTTAAAAGCCCCCTTTTCTCTTCTCCTAATTTATAGGATCTAAAATTTGTCTCTTTTTTTATTTAATATTTTTAAAAATAATATCAAAGAAAATGTTAAAAGTCTTAGAACTAAATATTTCTTTGAATATATTCTTTTCAATTTCTTCAAATCCAAAAGACTTCTTTTATTATTTCTATCTATTATTAATAAATATCAATTCAAATTAGAAATTCAAATTCCCATTACAAACTCTTATTATATCCAGTTCCTAATTAAGATTTTGAAATCAAAATACTAGTTCTCACTTTCATTAGAACCTTTATAGATATCTTCAAAAATTGTTCAAACCAACAATCAGCAATATTAAAAATTAAATCATTCTTATAATCATTAATACTAGAGATCTCAATGATCAAACCAAACTCAAAGTCTTAACCAATATAGTATACAACAAATCTATTTTAATATATATTAAAACTAAACTCAAAAAAAATATTACCATCCAAACAACATTAACAGAAAAATAAATATCTATAGCAAATCAAGCTTTGCAAGAAGTGACACTATATTAATTATCAGCAAAGATCTTTTACCACATATTTTTAAAATATGTGACATATCTGAATATTGCTTATTGATTATTTTGAAATTCAAAAGAAATGTAAACATAATTTTATTATTAGTTTATCTTTTATACAAAAAAAAAGAAAGAGATCCAGTTCTCAAGCAGTTACATCTAGCAATCAAACTTGCTATGCATTACAAACTTTATCATATAATCCTAGAAGACTTTAATTTCTACATAAAAAACAGTCTATTTATTAAAATCACTTCACATAAACAATTAGTCTATAAATATTTCAGCAACTACATTGATATCAGATAGCAATATGATAGTAAAGCATTAACATATTTTACTGTTACTAGTGTCTCATGTATAGATCAAGCCTGGGTCTCAAAAAATCTTGCCTCTAAAGTAGTATAATATAAGATATAAGAGATTAATACCATTCTAACAAATTATCAAGTTATCTTAATAAAACTCAATTATTTTAAATTCAAATATATCAAATCTACCTTCAAATTCAATTTTAACAGAACTTTAAAAGAAGATATTCAAGAATTTACAAAAAAGATTGATCACTGAATTAGTCTTTTATTATTATTTAATTGGAATAGTTTTTATAAAATTTGTTCTAATATTCTTAACAAGCATATTATTAGTGGAAAAAATATATAGTGTTGGCCTGAAAAATGATGAGTCAGTTGCTTCACTGGTCCAATGTTCGCATAACTAAGATAAGTTGAGGCATGTAAAATTGATTTAGCCAAGGTTTTTCATTATTAACAAGCTTTTCTTTTCTTTTCTGATACCAGCTCTTCTTTTAATAATTCCGGGCTATATCCTATAGTAGTGATTATTTTTTCTTGTATAGTGTGTACAAGTTGTTAATTATAACATTCCTTATTTGGCATTTCAATTTTTAATATTACTCTTTTTTTTTTTAATTTTCTATCTCTTTATACACTATCTTTAGATCTTATCTCTTGTTTGCTTTACAATTGTATAGCTATTTATATCGTTACTACTACTAGAAAAACAATTAAGGAAAAATAGACTATCGGGACTAAAACAAACTATGGATAAGTTATGTAAGCTTCGATGACTACATTTCTTATGCTGATTATTAATGCTACTTCATATTTCCTGAATACATGACTATACTATATGACTTTTATAGGGCTAATATCCTCCTTCACTTATCTTTGACATTCTCGACAAAGATTTTTACTGCTTCTAGAATTTGACAGGTTATCTATAGTGGTGGCATATTGGATAGTTGAATATCATATGATGAAGTGATGGTGCAGACATCCGAGTTGTCATCTCCATCATTGATTGTAATTTCTGGTTCATTTTCAATTTCTTTTATTATAGCCAGATTACTAACATTTACCCTTTTGTAACCTTCTTTCTCATTATTCCTACTTACATGCATGAACTCGAAATTATACCTTTTGCTGATGATGTCACAAATTTGAGTAACCCTATGAGATTGCTCTGGTTGACTTCCCGATCCGTTTTCCTGGTGAAATATACAATTCTTCATTTCTTTATAGCTGTATCAGAGTTTCAAAATAGATATGACTAATGCATATAATTCCATTGAATTAACTTTAATTTCACTCTGATAGGTGTAATGACAAAGTATAGGTAAGTCTCATCCCTTTTCTGTTTTCGCAATAAGTTGGCAATTATCCTCCTAACTTTTCGTTTACTATTCCGGCGCCTTTTTTTAGCTTTCGGATAATATTTGTTAGTTGTGGATGTCATCAATTCCTTGACTTGTGGTCTGATTAGTGAAACAGATCATGATTTCTCGTGGTCATGTACTATAGCTTCTCCAATGTTATTCAATGTCGGTTGAGCTATTTGCGCATTGGGTTTTCAAACCATTTGTTTTTTCTTGACCATATTATCCACAACACTCTGATATTCAAAATGCATATCACAAATAAAGGTTACTGCGTTGTTCAGTATGAGTTGGATCAGTTGTGCCTTGAACTCCCATATCATATAAAAATTTGTTGCTAATACATCGTTAAAATAAATTATTGCCACATTTCTCATATTTGTTGTATTTATTGTATGTTGCCATAATGTAACAGTGCTGCAAAGCTCAGTTGTGACCTTGTATTGGTGTGCCCACTTCGTTGTCATTGATATTACTCTTTCACTGATGGTCCCCTGTATGTCTTGTCTGATTTGTTGCATATTGCGATCAATCAAAACATCATCATGATTTTGTACCATTATATCACACTCAGGGTCTAATATGATTCTTTCGACAATATTGTCAGTTAGCAGCCTTTTTGCAGAGCAGCTTACCTGGTTCCATTTTGTTTTTAATCATCATCATCGTGCAGAGTGCTAATCTCATAAAGATGTCTGAGTGTGTTTTCATAAGCTTTATTTTAAACTCGCGACAGAACACATCCATCAATTGTTGCCTCACTATAGAAATATTACATGATCTGTAGGTCTTATTTCCAGATGCATGCATTTTTCAAGTAATTGCTAACATTGTTTTATTTCTCATCCCTTTCTAATTCCCATCATGTGACGTTAATAATTCTTTCCTTTGCATGGCGTTGAGTACTTTTATTGTTCTCTCTTCTTGTTTAAGCATTCTTCTGACTTTTCGTTTTCCTTAAACTCCCCATCTTTTCTTTCCACTGCCTCCAATTGATCTCCCTTATGGTTCTAAAAATTGGAATTGAATAGAATCAAACAGAATCACATGAGGTTCAGAACACTATTAAAAATGATAGTAGGATATATCCCACTTATTTAATTTAATATAAACTTAAGAATTGAATACAGAATCGAAGAGAATCGTTAGGATCTTTAGTCTCTCTTGAATGATGTCGACAATTCTCTCCAATGGATGAAATGTATGATGGGGCCCGAAACACCGAAATGTGTTTTGATACTGAACTTGGATTCATCAAATACTTTCTTGGAAATGGGAGTTTCCTACTTCTCAGTTTTATTGACTGTTTTTAGATCACTCTTGGTCGTCATCAACATTCTTTCCAGTTGAAGGAGTCATACGATAGCATCTGAGATCTTTGGTTACGTTTCATTATTGGAGTTGACATTATTACACCTCTCTCCTTTCTCTTTGCAAACTCTTAACCATTCTTCCGATTCACCTTCTTCTTTATCGTTCTTCACTTTTTCTTCCTCAATAGAGTATTCATTCCATGGAATGCTTTCATCAGTCACATCATAGTGTCTTCTGTAATCGATCTTGTCAACATGTACCATATTGGTTTCATCATTCAGAATCAAATTTCTAGTCAGACCTTTTGTGACAATTATCCACTCTTTATCAATGATTGTACTCATAGTTCCTTTTAGTGAAAACATGTCATCATTATCACATCTCAGCTTTTGGGCTTGAACTTTGCATTAACTCTCAAATAACTCTCCTGTACCAGTCCTGACTTTGGTGCAATCTTTCCTTTGTGCCCTTATCTTTTTCAAACAAGCTAAAGCATTTAGCATGGTAACCTTCTACACTCTTACTGTCACTCTCAGCCTCATCATCATTTGAATCCAGATTCTTTACCTGACTTTTTATGTTAGGTTTTTGCTTAATAACACAAACACTTATCCTTTTTGATAAAGGCATGTTATCATTATTACACTCAGATCCTTGGGCTTGAGAATTCATCTTGGTTCTCAGATAGCCCTTCTTTATCATCATGAACTCTGGCATGATATTTCTTTTTCTGTCTTCACTTTTCTCAAATAACCAGTGATGTCTAGGTTGACGGCTCTCTTCTTCACTTTCACTATCATTTTCAGCTTTGCTTAATCGTGTCATGATGAGTTGGAATACCTTCCTGATAAAATTGTTCTTGGTTGGATAATTCTTATTAAAGTGATTCTTTTTTCCACACCTGACACACTACTTGACTTCTATATCAGATACTCCTGACTTGTTTTCATCAAAAATAGCAGATACATTACACTTTTCTATTAGTTTTTGTATCTGGTTTCTCAGTTTCTAAATGCAGTTTTCTAGCTTTTTTTCTTTCTTTGCTTCCTTTTCAACATTAGCTTCAGCTTTGATTGCTGCTTTGAGTGCTTTCCTCAGGTTAGTTGCATTCCTAATAGCAGATACAGATCACAAGTCTTCTCATAATTTGCACACAATTTCTCATTCAACCATTTTCTTATGGTAGTTTCCCCTAGCGTAGTTCTTCTTGAGTAGCTTCTGAAATCATTAAATGTACTCAAGCACCTTTTCATTCTCTTCTTGCTTTATGTCCTCCAACTTCGTCTGCCATTGATGCCATTGTTTGATTATCTCAAAGTGATGAATGAATGCTGGTACAAAGCTCTTCTTATAGTCATACCTATTGTTCCAATAGATAAAATAATACTTATATTTGTTATACTATTCCAATGTAATTTCTTTTAAATAACTAGCTACTTGGTCCAACTTCTCATCATCTGTCCAGTTATTGCAGTCAGCAGCTTGATTGTAATATCCTATCCATATTCGCAACTCTTCTCTTGGTTTGCTTTTAAATTTAGGTAGCCAAACATAATAACTTTCTTTTTTCTTAATTCTTCTCATTCTTATTTCTTACGGAATAGTGCTAGCATTTCTTGATTCTTTCCGGATATTACGACATAGAGGAGTACAAGGAGTTTTCTCATTCACATATTTTATGATTTCCAACATTTTTGCTGTTGATTTATAATCAAGGCAGATCTTGGATGAATCACAGGTTTTCCAAAGAAGGTAAGATTTGTTTTTGGCAAACAATGTATTTGTTTTTCTTAAATTTAAATAAATTTTTTTTAATTCATGCAATTTTATCAAGGGAATAACAAGACATTCTATTTCACAGTCACCACCAAATTGTTTGCCTGGAAAATGGTGAGTCAGTCACTTCACCGGTTCAATGTTTGTATAACTAAGGTAAGTCAAGGCATGTATATTGATTTGGCTGGGACTTTTCATTATTAATAAGCTTTTTTCTTCTTTTCTAATACCAGCTCTTCTTTTGATATCCCGGGCTATGTCCTATAGCAGCAATTATCCTTTCGTATATGGTGTGTACTTGAAAAGGTAAGTTGTTAATTACAATATTCCTTATTTGGCGTTTCAATTTTTATTATTACTTTTTTTTTTATTTTTTATCTCTCTATACATTATCTTTAGATCCTATCTCTTATTTGCTTTACAATCGTATAACTATTTATATCATTGCTACTACTAGAAAAACAATTAAGGAAAAATAGACTATCGGGGCTAAAACAAACTATAAGTAAGTTATGTAAACTTCAATGACTATATTTTCTATGCTGATTATTAATGCTACTTCATATTTTCAGAATATGCAACTATACCATGTAACTTTTATAGGGCTAACAATAGTTAAGAACATATGACATGACTTTTGTGTTATATGACTAATTAGCATATTGATAATCTTTTAGCAAATAGTATAAAGAAATAGTAAAAAATTTAAATAGTTTATTTTTATAGTGCAATAGTTTATGAGTTATAGCAAAAATAGTTCTATAGTATATTAGAATAGTAATACATATATAAATAGAAATAAGTAAGTACAAAAAGAGAGAGATAATCTTAATCTTAATTTTAAAAATAACAATTCTAATTAATATCTTTCCCTATTGAAAAAGAAAGCACAAAATAGTTACAGTGTGTAACAAAACTTTTTGGAATTTTTTATTTATTCATTATTCAAAAACTACTGCATAGAAATTAATATAAAATATATCAAAATAAAGCTGAAAATCTAGAGATTTTATTAATATATAATTAATAATTAATTATTTCACCTTCCTTTTCAATTATCATTTCACATCTTTCTTTCATTGAATCTATAAAATTATTTAAAACCTTATTTGGA